AATTATTGTGGTGATCATTTCACAGTAAATACAAATATTGAATCATCTTGTTATATACTTGAAACTAATATAATTTTATGTCAGTTATACCTCAGTAAAAATAATAAAATAAAAATAAGGCAGTCCTTTCTTCAAGAAATTTACCCTCTATTAGGAAAAAGAGATAAAAATAAAAATTTAATGTTATCTTGTGTAGTAGTAGAAATATGTACGAAGTTTAGCAGTGGGATGATAGTGATTACAACAGAGTTCAAAGAAAATTTTATCAAGGATGTAATACTTGAGCTGGATCTAAGTAGATAGACATTTTTGATTTTTCATCTCTTTCTTAGAAAAAGAGGAATTACACACAGCTTAAGCTTACTAAGGAATAAATTCTCATCCTTATAACCAAAAGATTAGGCAGCGAGACCCAGAAAAGATTCCAGTTTTGTACAGGGTTGCTGAAGGTTGGCTGTAAACCTCCATTGAAGATGGTGGCTGTGCTGGGCAGTGCCCTCTCTGTACACAGCTTTCTCTTCCTTCACACCTGGAGTAGTAACTTGTTACTAGTTCTGGGATCTGCATTATCCCTTGTAGTTTTAATGTTTTGTTTAGGATAAAGTTTCAGAATATGTCTGCATTATCTAGATCAGCACTTCTCCAATAGAGATATAATGTGAGCCATTTATGTAATTTGAAATTTTCTAGTACTCATATTAAAAGAAAGAAATGAGTGAAATTAATTTTAACAGTCTGTTTTATTTAACTTACTCTATCCAAAATATTATCATTTCAACATGTAATCAATATTTAAGAATTATTAATGAGATACTTTACATTTATTTTCATGCAAAGTATTCAAAATTAGCATATATTTTACACTTATAGCACTCAACCTGTATACAAAATTTTCATTGGAAATACTTGATCTGTATTTAGATTTCATAAAATTTGTAGTTGAAAAAGTAGATTCACTTACCTAGAGAGTTCCAAACTGACTTTAATGTTTCCCAGGTATCAGTTTATAAATTATATTGATGTTAATAATAATTAAATAAAATTAAAAATTCCGTTCCTTAGTTGTATTAGTCACCTTTCAACTCTTAGTTATGCCTAATTGAACAGCACAGCTATAGATTATTCTTCATGCCATGCTTAAATACTCTGATATTTTCTTAGGTTATTGTTTATGTAGAATTAGTCCATGCCACAGAATTCGTGGAAACTGTTTTACTAGGTTAGACTTATTGTTCAAGGATATCAGTGCTAGGGAAAAATAGCTCTGCAGGGCTGGGGAAGGCCTTGCACATAGTAGGGGTTTAATAAATGTTTACCTAACTAAAAATTCTATTTAGTGCTCAGGTTTCCTTAAATTTCACTTTCTCAGGGAAGAATTTCCGATTCTTCAGTCTGGCACGTGTTCCCTCATTACATTTTTCTAATAGAGCTGGGTCAAAACCATGTGTACTGGTTCAAATAATTTTGTGATTAACATCTATCTCCCTGACTAGGCTATAAGTTCAGTGAGAGATGGGAGTGTGTTTTTGTTCACTAACGTTTTCCCTGTCCCCAGCATAATGCATGGCACATGGCAAGCATGGAATAAATACTAATCAGATAATAATACCACATGACCATTTAAAATATGAATGATTAGCAGATTGTCTAATTCTTAACTTCATAGAATTGGAGTTTGTGTTTGGAAAAAAAAGGAATATTTTATTTTTAAGGAGTATACACACTAAAAAGTGTGTGGATTCTTAGCCTTTTCAAAATACTCCTGTAAGTATGCCTTTTCTTAGATTTATCTCTACTTTATTGGTATTCATTTTCTTGAAATATCTATCACCTCACATCTGTCTCTGCTTATAACTGAAGGTGCACTGAAGACAGAAACTAAAAGAGAGAAAACTGAATTGCGAAATACTTTTAGGGAGCTGAGAAAGGTATAAGGCAAAAGCAAAGAAGCATCTCTTGGTAAAAGAAGCATCTCTTGCTGTTTCAGGACAGTTAAATATAAACCAACCCTTTTAAGTATACCAGAGTAATAAGCCTTATCCACAATATGTGAAAATATAATTAAAAATGTATTGTGGGCCAATTGACCAAGTTGTCAGGTTATTATCTGAATCATAAAGTTGTAAGTAATACCCATTAAAAGCTACTAGTTTGGAAAAGTTAGAATTTAGTCTTTGCAAATATAAAGTTTCTCAATTTGAATAATGCTTTAGAAAACCTCTAGCATTTGACTTTTTCTTTTAATGTTTCATGGAAGTGTAATAAGCATATAGAAATGTGGACATAGGGTACAGCTCGATGAATTTTCACATCTAGATCAAGAAACAGTACATTACCATCACAGCATCACAGTACATTACCATCACGGCTACCCTCTTGTTTTTTCCCCCTTTCCTGTAAATCATCATCCTGACATAGATAAGTTTTTCCTGTTTTTGTACTTTATATAAATGGAATCATGCAGTATCCGCATTCAAATTAGTATAACACATTATTATTCTAAGTGACATTTCTGATAGCAACTCATTGGAAACAAGGTCTGTTTTCAGTTTTCCTTATGTATCTATGTTGGTAAATTGGCAGTTTATAGCTGTATTTACTTCTTTATTAATTCTTTAAGAAATTTTCTGTATAAATGTAAGAGTGTATATATGCATGTGTGCATGCATGTGCATGTATGCACATATATATGCTTTTAAAAATTTTAAATTTAGTCATACTATGCTATGCGTATTATTCAACTCTCATTGATATATCTCAAAGTCCTTGTCACATATGCTCATGTAGATCCACTTATTTTTCCTAATGGTGGCACAGTTTTCCATTATACAGATGTATCATTTTTTTAATTTATTTTTTTATGGTGACATTGGTTAACAAAATCTAATAAGTTTCATCTGTACACTTTAACATAAGGCATATATATATTTACACTATGTGTTCACCTCCCATAGTTAGATTTCTTTCTGTCACCACATATTTGACCCCCTTTACCCTGTCTACCTCCCGCCTCCTCCCATCCCCTACCCTCTGGTAACTACTAGTCTCTAGTCCATGTCCATGAGTCTCTGTTGGTTTGTCCTGTTCATTTGTTGCTTTTAGGTTTATATCCCACATATAAGTGATATCATGTGATTTTCAACTTTTTCTGTCTGGCTTATTTCGCTTAGCATGATTATCTCGAGGTCTATTCATTTTGTCGCAAATTGCAATATTTCATCTCCTCTTATGGCTGAGTAATATTCCATTGTACATATGTACCACTGCTTCTTTAGCCAGTCCTTTATCATAGGACACTTCAGTTGCTTCCGTGTGAATAATGCTGCTATGAACATCGGTGTGCAAATATCCTTTCAGATATGGGTTTTCAAGTCTTTGGGTAAATACTCAATAGAGAAGTTGCTGGATCGTATAGTAGATCAATTCTTAGTTTTTTGAGGAACCTCCATACTGTTTTCCATAGTGGCTGTACCAATTTTCAGTCTCACCAGCACTGCACAAGGGTTCCTTTTTCTCCGCATCCTCTCCAATGTTTGTTAATACTTGTCCTGTTGAGTATAGCTAGTCTAACAGGTGCGAGATGGTATCTCATTATGGTTTTGATTTGCATTTCCCTAATAGCTAGCGGTGTTGAGCATCTTTTCAAATATTTGTTAGCCATTTATATGTCCTCTAGGGAGAAGTGTCTGTTCAGATCCTTTGCCAATTTTTGGATTAGATCATTTGTTTTTTGTTGTTATTGAGCCCTGTGAGTTCTTTGTATATTTTGGATATTAGGCCCTTATCAGAGGCATTGCTTGCAAATATATTTTCCCACTCAGATGGTTTTCTCTTTATCTTGTTGACGATTTCTTTTGCTGAGCAGAAGCTTTTTAGTTTGTTGTAGTTCCATTCACTTAATTTTGCTTTTATTTCCCTTGGTTTTGCAGTCAAATTCATAAAATCCTCTTTAAGTCTAAGGTCCTTGAGTTTAGTTCCTGTGTTTTCTTCTATGCGTTTTATTGTTTCAGGTCCTATATTTAGGTCTTAAATCCATTTTTGAGTTAGTTTTGTTGTGTGGTGATGGACAACAATCTAGTTTTGTTCTTTTGCAGGTGGCTTGGATGTATTATATTTAATGAGCCAGCTCTCCACTGAGGAGAGGTTGTTACTGATCTTTTACTTGTAGAACAGTGGAGTCCATGTGAGTGTATATAATGAATTCTTAGAAACAGAATTACTCAGCAATAGGTCCATGGATTTTTAATTTGCGCAGATGTTTCTAAATGACCCTCTAAAGAGTTTTGGCAATTTTTACTCCCACCAGCAAGGCTTAATAACTCCTATTTCCAGTGTCCTTGCCTTAGGTTATGTGTTAGCAAGACCTAATCTTTGCAGTTATAGGAAAACCAGTAAGTCATTATTATTTATATTTAAGTTCACATTTTCTTCACTTTTGGATGAAGGTATTTATACATTTATTGGACATTTGTGTTTCTCTTGGGACTTGTACTCATTTTCCTATAGGCTTATTCATACTTTTCTTATTAATTTCGAGGAGCTCTTTCTATATAAGGAAATTAACTCTTTTACATCATTTTTGGTGTTAATTTTTTTTCAGTTTGTTTTTTGTCTTTTCTGTATTTATAGCCATTTTTTTTTTCCTACACAGAAGGTTTAAAATTTTATATGGTGAAATCTATTAGCTTTTTCCTTACTAGCTTTTGAATTGTGTATAGCACTGCATTGGAAACTTTAGATTGATAGATTGATAGATAGATAGATAGATAGATAGATAGATAGATAGATAGATAGATAAACTTAAGCCTGGCATGGAAAAAAAAAAATCTTTAGAAATGTTTGTGGGAAATGTAGCTGAGCAGGAATTTAAATTTTATTATGACCAACAAAATTTGTTTAACATTTTAAATAGCTTTTGGAAGGATTTTCAATGCTATGTTTTTTTCCTTTTATGCTTTGTTATACAGGGTTTTAATTTTTCAAATGATCCTTCTTTTCAGATTTCAAATTATAACCGATTTCCTGCACCATTGCTGACGTCCAGTGATCCATGTCAGAAGTACTTCCAGGTCAGATGCGCTTTCACATGTTTCAATGTAGAGAAGCAGTTGAATATTAAAACAAATGTATATAATAGATGATTGTTTTGAGGTTAAACTTATAATTTGCTAAAATAACATGTTTTGGTTTTCATTGTTCTTCACTAATAGAAAAATGAACCTTTAAAATAAGACATTCAATTAGACTTACGTGTACTCATGTAATAATTTCGCAATTCTAATATAATATGAATATATTTTAGTTAACTAGGAAATTAAAACTGTCAAGTTTTCCTGTCTAGCATTGTTCATTATAGCCTGTAAACTGTTAAATATGAACAAAGGAGGTATTGGTAGTGAGTCTCTGTAAACAGCAGTTTAGCTATTAGGAGGTTTGTCTAGAATAGAGCTACCCATTTCAGTATTCTCCTTGGATCTAATGCTAATTAATTTCAAGCCTTAAGAAAACTGTCTTACTTTTATTGTATGCCCATTTCTTTGTGACACGATGGATGTTAGTCTATATACAACATGGTGTGGGATTTAATTCTTAGCCTCGCCGTAACAATAAGGAAAAAGCAATTGCAATAACATTTGGAATTAAACATAGTATAAGACTGCAAGTGGCAGATACATCTGAGTAGATTCCATATTTGTTAGGACATATACCACTCAGCAAATTCTGTTTTTAAAGAAGTAGATTTTAACCATGGACAAATAGATATTAATGTCTCTTGATTTTAAATTAAACTCATTAAGTATAGACAAGCCCTTTTTTGCTTTATTTAACACTGCATGTTACATTTCAACAGAAAACTAAAATAAAATATAATAATAAAAAAAATAAAATACTAAGCTCAATAGAAGTATATGAATGACAGGAATATCCTATTTATAAAAATCAACCAAAACTAATATGACAAACCTAAGTTCACACAGGAAAATTAGAATTTAGAGGTGATTCTTAGAGGCCATCTAATCATATTGTGAAAATTTGGGGGTAGAGCATAGATTTTCTATGTCAATACAGATTTGAACAGGTGCATTAATTTTTGAAAATCAAGGCAAGTACACATGTGCTTTTAAAAAACAAATTTTAGATGTCGAGAATAATTCCTTTTAGGAATTTTTTAGTATTTAAAATCTTTTATTATATTGCAAGATAGACTCAGTATGGAAATGTTTCAGGAACAAAGCTGGCAAATATATAAAGTGAGTTTTCCTCAAAGTGGAGGTAAACTAATCAAAGAACTTGTAGAAATTTCTTATTGTCACTATGTTTTGATATGCTGATGTAGTCATTCTTCCTGTTGGTACTCACATTGCTTTATTCCTTGGTAGTTATATATGACATAATAAAACTCTTATCCAGCATGGTTTTTTAAGTGACATCTGCTACATCATGCATTGGTGTAACACATTTTGCCAAGAAAGTGGTATTTTTATTTCACTGGAATATCATATTCCAGCCATTTTTTATTTGAAAATTCAAATGACAGCTAGTAAGGGAGAGTCTGGACCGATAACTGGGATAAGTTATGCCTGAACCCTGTGTTCCAACTCTTAGGAGCGATGACTACAGAGAGCCTTTTAAAAAACAAACATACTAGAATCTATACCATTATCTGGCTGAAAAAGTCTTGTTGAACCTTCAAGATTCAACTTAGGAGTGTCTTTTGAATAGGACTTACCCTGTGACATATTCACGTAATTACCCTATTTTAAGGCTTCTTTCATTGTTTAATATGTTTTCCCTTTTGGAATTGACTTGAGGCCAGCTTATCATTATTCAAAAAAAAACGTGATTACTTTATGGCCTACCTACTTTTTTTCACCTAAACCAATATTCCCAGGCTTGATCATTTACTTTAGTCATCAGAGTTGGCCCTAAAAGTCTAGAGCTATTTTAAAAACATATATACGGTCATCTTCAGAAGATATTGAGGCTCTTCTAAATGATAAAAACAGAATAGAAATTGAGCAGAGAAAACATCATATCCCAAGGTGACTATTTCAAATGTCTTAATTCTTATTTGAATATACATATTCTGATTTGTGTTTCCCAAGTAACCAGTCATCACATCTGCCAGGTGTGATGTTGCAAAGCCAGATTTCCCTCCATCTGGAGTGCCTTTCTCTTCTTTGTCAACTGGTAGACTTCTACCTACCCTTCAAGTCTCAGCTCAGCCGTTTTGTGTGTGTGTGTGTGTGTGTCTGTGTCTGTGTCTGTCTGTGTGTGTGTGTCGAGAGAGAGAGAGCGAGTGAGCAAGCACGAGAGCGTCTTCCTTGAACCTCTCTCCTCATCTGTAACACCTTCTTCTCATAATACCCTCTGTCTACTTTTTGAGTTTGTTTCATAATTTATCCTTCTCGCTGCCCTATCTGCATGTGTTTCTTAAAGGAAAACATTTGGTACACCTTTCTTGACTCTCCTCATTTCCACCTGGGATGTCTAACAGTGAGCCCTCGGGCAGTTACGTTGAATGGGGAATGAGAAACCCTCCAGTGGGTAAGACCTAGCTCTTGAAGTCACCTCTTATCTCAGAGAGCCCGGGGAAGCCGCCCTGGGAATCAGCTGTGTGAAGTTGCTCTCCTGGTTTATAAACCTCCAGGGTCTGCCTCCAAATAACCGTTTTCTCTTTTGTTCACACAGAACTTCTTATCATTTTTGTAACATTGAGAGTTTACTTTCATGAGTAATTTCAGGAAACTAGCTTTATTTTGCCTCTCTTTCCTAAAAGAAAAAAAAATCTGAGTTTATTTCATGTCTTTAATACTTTGAGGTCTAGTTCAAAAGGCAGCATTCCTCAGGGTAGAATTTTTGCTTTTAACTCCTCAATGGAAATAAAATTGCGTAGCAGGAAAATAAAAATAAAAAAAATGTGAAGTCTCATTTAAGGGTGGGACAAATATTGGGCTTCCCTGGGCCCATTTGTCAGTTTCTAATTTTATAAGCGTGTCATGAGAGCAGAGAGAGAGCAGGTTATTGAAGAGAGGAGTTTCCTGTCATTAGTGACAAATTCTTTTTGTTTGTTTGTTTGTTTTTTGTTTTTTTGATAGAAGGCTAGAGGTCTCAGAAAAGAGAAGGAAGCGGGCAGGTTTAACTACAGGATCCAACACGAGTTCGTATTAGGATGTCATCTGAGATACAGAGTTACAGCTTAGTATGGGGATCTTTGTGACTCTGAGTTTGAAAAAAGCTTTGTTAGCCTTGAAATAAAAATGACCCTGGCTTACCTAATTTTGTTTAGGCATCATAAAAAAAAATACTCTATTAACTAAGGCTCTTTAGTTACTAAAAGGAGAAAAACAGCTCAAATTGGTTTAAGGGAAAAAAAAAAACTATTAACTTCAATACCCTAGAAGTCCTGGGGCATCATGTTTCAGGCATAGTTTGCTTCCAAGAGTCCAATAGTGTCATTAGAGCTTGCTCACTTTCTCTCTGTTTCTTGGCTCTACTTGCCCATTTGTTAGGTTCTTGCTTATGCAGGTTGTCTTTTCATGGTATGCCTTGAAGCTTGTATCTTCTAGTTCAAGAAAAAGAAAAAAGAGAGCACTTCTCTTCTGATCATTCTGGCAAAACTCTTAGGATGAGCTTTGTGTGTGTCACATGCTTTACCTTGAACCAGTTACCATAGCCATGGGAATTTGCTACTCCGGCTGACTGGGCCCTGGCATGTGCCTCATAAAGTAAGGGGTAGAGTCATCTCTGCCTGAAACACAGAGGCTGAATCCCTAGAATGTAAACTCCATGAGAGTAGGTATTTTGTCAGTTTTGTTTACTGCTGTATCCTCAGCAGTGAGAACTACATCTGTTGCATGGTAGTAATCAGAAGAAAAAAAGAAAAGTCTATAAAGTGAGTGTGGAGGAAGGACGATTTCACAATAATAATTGTGGGGCTTTTACCGGAAAAGGAGGGTGTAGATACCGAGCAGTAATAGATGTTTCTCCGTCGTGCATCAAGCAGGAGAATGATGGCAGTAGTCATACTAGCTCTTGTCACACTCTTCACTCTGAACTTATACCTAGCTCTGGAATAGGAATCGGTCCTCTCGAATTGATGTTCGCTCTTCATAGGTAACACTCAAAACAGTATAACGAATAGATGTGGAAGTGATGGCAAAATCATGGCCCCTGTCCACCTTCCAGAAATCCAGGAACCTCTGTCCTAAAGATTAACCCTCAGGATGACACCTGACACCTTATTCACGTCCCCCCTGTGACTTTCATTTCTTTTTTTCCCTTCCATTTCATAGGCTGCAGATTCATTTTGTTGATAGTTTCCTTTGCTAAGCAAATGCTCTTTAGTTTCATGTAGTCCCACATGTTTGTTTTGCTTTTGTTGCCTTTGCGTTTGGTGTCAAATCTAAAAAGGTCATCGCCAAGACCTGTGTTCAGAAACTTACCCCAGTATTTTCCTCTAGGAGTTTCATGGCTTCAAGTCTTACTTTCAAGTATTTAACCCATTTTGTGTTAATTTTTGTTTAGGATAGTGGTCCAGTTGTACTTATTTATTTTTTTGCCTATGACTATCCAGTTTTCCCAACACCATTTATTGAAGAGACCATCCTTTCTCCATTGTATGTTCTTGACTCTTTTGTGATAAATTAATTGACCAGATATTCATGGATTTATTTCTGTATGCTCTATTCTGTTCTGTTGATCTATGCATCCATTTTTATGCCATCAAGCCTCAGATTTTTTAAGTCACTAACCTTGCGTTTTTTCCTTGAGACTATTTCTAAACTTTGTCCATCTCAGGTTCCCTGAGACTGCTTCTACTTCAGGGGAAGACTCTATCTTCATAAAGGATATTGAGGCTATCAGTTTTGCTTTTTCTCGATTTTGTGTCGCGGCCACGACATGTGTCCTCATTCTTACTCCTCTTTTCTCACACGAAGTAGTACCTCTTGTCTTGAGCAATGCCAGCTCTTCTACATGTTCTCTGGCCCCTCCTCTCTTCTCATCACCTGGATTCTACCTTATCCTCTCTCCTTTTGTGTTTCTGCTTTCCCCCTCTCTACTGGCCTGTGCTTTTCCAACCTATAAGCAATAAAACATGGCTAAGACTCTCATCTTTAGAAAACAAAACTTTCTTCCCACAATCCTTGTTCATCTTTCAGTTGCTCTTCTTTCCTGCCCCTGCTTTATTTATAGTGAAGTTTCTTAAAGGGAACTCTCTGCCCAACTCTGCCATTCTCTTGAAGCAATATGACAGAAGCCACTAATGAACTTACAATCACTTGGTGTACCTGTTTCTTTTCAGTCTTTACCTCTAAATCCAGGTGGCTAATGGAGACCTCATCTTCATGCCCTGGTCAAGAGATGAATGACTAGAGCCAGCGCTATGACGATACAAAAGAAAGACTTTTCCTGTACCTAAGTCTCTTGTACCTGCCTACTGCTCTTCCTACTTCCTTGACTGGACTATTGCAGTAGCCTTCTAGCTGGTCTCCATGCTGGATTTTGTTCCCTTCCAGTAGATGGCAGAATCAGGCTCTAACACCAGATAGAGGAGCATGAAGATGGGGCCAGCTGCCTCTTTGATTAGGGAATCACCTTCTGTCTACCTCTTTTTTTTCCGAGATACCACTGAAGTTTTAATTGCCTAATTTACATTGCTTCTTTAATGCCTTTTCATCAGTCATCTTCTTCTTAAAGAATGTGCTGAAGGAAAGATGCCTTTCCCCCTACAACATAAAGGAATACACACACACACACACTCACACACTCCATATACTTCAACCTCAGATTCATTCTTCATGATTTTGTTGAAGTGGTTGATATTCTCTGCCTCAGGGTCAAATCTAAACTCTTGGAACACACCTTGGGAACTTTCTCTGATCCCTCCCCTCCCTCTTTACCACCTCTTCTGTCATGTCTTGATTTGCTCTGATTCCCTAGATGGTAATCTATGCTCTTACCTTAAGATCCTCTCCAACCTAAGGTGGGAAGACTGCTTATTCCTTCGTACCTTCCCACTCCTGCCCTGGTTGATTTTTATCAGTTTATTGTGTGTTTGTCTTCCACAAGGCTGAAAGTATTTAGCAGGCGTGACCTTGTGTGTCTTGATTTCTCCATTCCCAGCACAGTGTCTGGCAAGAAGAAAGTGCTCCATGGACAGTGGCCTGAGGTGTAGTGGTTAGAGACAAAAGAGTGCAGGGAAGGAGGGAGCCGTAGGATAGTAATCATCCCCAACATGACTGGAGTGTATGTAGTACAATACGCCAGGCTTTGGGTTAAATGCTTGACAGTCATCCCTCTTAGTCCCCAGCAAAGCTCAGTGAGGTGTAGATACTGTCATCCTCATTTTACAATAAAGAAATGGGGAGTTTAAGTAACTTATCTGTTATGTCAAGGAGTTTGGACTTATTCTTTGGATTTATTCTTGCCTTTTTGACTACAAAGAAAACATCTCAACATTAGAAGGTTTAAAGAGACATTATAAGATTTTCTTTCCTTTAAAAAAAGAAACACAAACCTCTTTTCTTTTAAACCTGAGGAATGTTTTTTGTTTTTCTTTTTTCATAATTAAACCTCTCTAGACCCAACTTCTTTATCCCTTCCCCTGGTCTGTTTACTCTTTGTATGTCTCTACAATAAGACCATTTCTATCACTCAGACCAATAAGGTAGTTAATTTGGGGGCCTTGGCAGGCAGCCCTGCAATCTGTCACTTGGATAAAAGGGGTGAGGTTTGCTCACATTTATTTATGTACTTTGCTAAAATTTCTCCTGGCATTCTCATTTTAAACCTCACAATCCTCACTATTATTGTCCTCATTTTTCAGACAAGGAAACTGAAGGTCTGGTATCCTAGATCATTCAGCTAGTAAGGAGCATGGACAGGATGTGAGCCTGTCTCTCTGACCCTGAGTTCCGTGCCCTTATCCTCATGGGCACTGCCTCCCACTTTTGGGGGCCTCCTTCCTGCAGCCTTGGTCTTTCTAGGATTTTGCTAACCTCTCTCTACTTCATGACCCTTTGGAGCCCAAATGACTGCCTAGCTGATATATTAACTCCTAGTGACTACTGTAACTTCAACTGTAACCATGGCTCTCTTAGTTCTAGATCTGAACCTTAATTTTGCTTCCAGATGATACCATCATTTAATATCTAAGATACACTCAAATTGTGTTCAGGCTTTGATCTATAAAAACAACATATACAGAGTTGTTTTGTTCAGAGTGGGCCTGCTGTTCTAATTTAACCCTCCTAAACCTTCCCTCTATGATTTCTTGTAAGCCCAAGGGCTACAAAGGGAATGGGGAGGGAGATGGGACCCAAAAGACTAGTGAGAAGATGGCTAAAAGCTTTTATCTGTCACATTCAGGATATGAAAGCTACTTAAATATTAAATCACCTAGAAAATTGATGATATTCTTTCTGAAAATGTTTATGGCTATAAACAAAGTAAACAAAAATTTCTTCCTAATAACATTGCTAGAATGTAGTACCTAACATTATAAAGTAGCTTCATAGAAAATGTTTGCCGTGCCTTTTAAAAGCAAGCAGATTGCCAGCTTTCTCATAATCATGTCACTCTAAATGCCCAAGATTCTAAATGCGTGCCTCTGTTATGAATATGTGTCTCAGGGAAAACTACATGTGGATTCATGATGGCCCTTCTCATATCAAATGCTACTCTGGAGTCAGTTTGTATTATAAATGGAAACATATGTTTTCCATAAAGTCAGAGTAGTAGCCAAAACAATATTAATTAAAAAAAAAAATTAGAGTATTGTTTCAAAGGGAGAAACATACTTGATTCTCTGTTCTGCAAAATGAAGCCCAAGTGCTGAGGCAGAGTGCTGGGCAAGCTAGAGTCCTTACACATAACAATTTTGAAAAATGGGGCTCACAGTCTAACCACTTTGGGTTGCATTGCCCTTAGCTATTTCTGTGGGCCAAGTGGTCATTCTGTTATCATGTGGCCAGTGCCCAGACTGTACAGACGTTGCCTAGTTTCCTAAAAACATACAGGCTCTAGGATGAGTGGGGCACTCTTTTCAATAGCCCATCCTGTGGATTTGATGATAGAGATGCTTCTGAACTCCTGAATGGAACATTCTTGCCTTCCGTGCCTGCGAAGGTCCCCGGGGGAGAAAGAGGGAGTTGTCACAATACAATTTTTGGAATGTTACGAGCTGCACTTTGGCTCCACTGCTGGTGTAGAACTTACTGAGGTCTCTGTGGAGGGCAAAGGATCAGATAAGAAGTCATTCCTCCTAGGCTGAGAAATGTGAAACCTCAGGAATTCTTGCTGATGGATTTTATTCCCTTTTAGTCTGAGAAACCTTTCTTTCTTCCTAGCAAGAGACACATAGAATAAATCACTGATGGTGTGAACAATATTTGAGATAAATGCAGCTGTCAGATAGTTTCCTAGGAGTCCTGCAAGGGCACATGGTGACTGCAAACAGCTGAGTCTACATTTTAGTTCAATGGAACATATTCAGACTCCTTTTGGCTCTAACATGTCTGAAGCCATGGGCTCAATGCTACATTATTAGGGGTGTGCATGTGTATGTGTATATGTGTGTGTGTGTTCTTGAGCAATTAAGGTGTTTCTCCGAAATTTCTGTTTACTACAAACACTAAGTTCGAGTCAAAAATGTTCACATAGACATTAGCAAAACACTCGAATGGAGGCTTGATTTTTGCACGCATTCAGAACACAATTTCCAAACATGGTTGAGAAAAATTACCTCGGACTTTAATAGTGGTCTTTAAGATTAATTAAGAAACCTGGAGCCCCAGAGTATTTTTAAGCAACTTTTTTGTTGCCCGAGGGAATGACGGAGTAGAAATGTGGCATAAATGTTTAGAAAGGGGAAGATTTTCAAGGTAGTGAAAAATGAAGACCAGCCACCAAAAGGAAATGCTTACATATGAATTCAAAAGAGAGATACTTTTTAATTTAAGTAAAATTTGGACCCTCAGTTCTCTTACCTTTTTGATAAAGTGGCCTTTGTGTACTCACATTAGGCCTTTTATTTGCTTCTATTTGATAAATGAGCAAGCAGTGAAAATAAAGAAAAAAATGGGCCAGTTCTACAAAAATGTATGCACCGGAAGATTAATTCTTTCAGTTTTCTGTATAAAAATGTTTAGTCACTCTGTATGCTAAGTAGTTTAATAATGCCAGGCTTCTAATGACCAGTTTTCTTTTTTTCCAGCTGACTCAGGTGTAGACACTTTGGCAGTGTTTATGGCCAGCAGCGGAACCACAGATGTCACGAATCGGAGCAGCCCAGCCACACCACCAAATACCCTTAATCTCCGTTCCTCCCACAATGAACTGTTGAATGCTGAAATAAAACATACAGAAACTAAGAACAGCACACCTCCCAAATGCAGGAAAAAATATGCATTAACTAACATCCAAGCAGCGATGGGCCTCTCGGATCCAGCTGCCCAGCCCCTACTGGGAAATGGCTCTGCCAATATCAAGCTGGTGAAAAATGGGGAGAACCAGCTCCGGAAGGCTGCAGAACAAGGGCAGCAGGACCCCAACAAAAATGTCAGCCCCACTGCAGTCATCAACATAACTTCTGAGAAGTTAGAAGGTAAAGAGCCCCACCCCCAGGATTCCTCGGGCTGTGACATTTTACCCTCCCAACCCAGGAGAACCAAGAGCTTTCTAAATTACTATGCAGACCTGGAAACCTCAACCAGAGAACTAGAGCAGAACTTAGGTAGTCAGCATGCGGTTGTGGAAGAGAAGTCCCAGCCAGGCCAGGGCCAGGCCTCCACCGTCATTGGGAATGGCGATTTGCTGCTGCAGAAACCAAACAAACCCCAGTGTAGTCCTGAAGATGGCCAAGTAGCCACAGTGTCATCCAGCCCAGAGACCAAGAAGGATCATCCTAAAACAGGGGCCAAAACTGATTGCGCACTACATCGGATCCAGAACCTGGCACCCAGCGATGAGGAGTCCAGCTGGACCACACTGTCCCAGGACAGTGCTTCACCCAGCTCCCCGGATGAAACAGGTACCCCTGGGAAAGGTATAGTAAGGTGACATTTTCTTTTGGTGTTTTCAGTTATTAATATTAATCCCTAGACAAACCCAAAAAATCCATTTGCAGGCAGAGAAGAATGTGAACCTCGCGGTAAAATTGGGCAGTTTGTGTGGAAAATATTGTTAGATTCCTTAACAGTTTCATTTTGGTTTATTTGTTCTAGGAAGCGTTTTTGTAAAAGAAATAGGTCCTTGGCGTTATACAGTAAAACATCTATTTAGAAGTTATTCTGCCAGTGTGTGATGAACTATTTTTATATACTATCTAGAAATATTTGGTTTTGTTAAGCAAAATAATAAAAGAAAGAGTTTCCTCAGGTTGTGGCAGCCTTTCCTCTACTCTTCCAGACACGGTGCTTTCTGTTGTAGTTAAATTTTAAATTTTCCTGAAAGTCATTTGATGAACAGTGAAGTCTCCCCTGCTCCACACTCTAGCCCGCTTTTTCAGGGATGATTGCTACCTTTTTTTTCCCTTGTTTCCTTTCAGAAAACATTTTAGGCATATGCCCACATTTATAATAAATTTTAAAATTTATGCAAATTTTATGATAATGGTATTTTTATAAAGTCTTTACTTTTTAGAGATATATACTAATGTACTAATATAAGTGTACTATATATAATATAACATAACAATATAAGTAAACTAATATAAATGATATTGTATATGGAATTTTCTCCAAAATAATTGGGCCAGGAATAAAAAAGACCCCAAAATTTCCCATAAGCCGATCATTGTTAAAAATGGGTACATGAGGTTCATTATTCTGTTCTCCCTAATTTTGTGTTTAAAATTTTTCACAGTAAAAAGTTAAAACAAAAAAAAATTACATTAAATTGTTTTATAAATGCCTTTGCTTTTCCCCTTAAGTATATATTTTGTAAAGCAGTCCATATCAAGACACACCACTTTTTTACATCAGGCTTTTTAAAGTATTAGGCATGTTGTTCTACCACATTCAAGTTCTGTGATTTATTTAAGTTTCCTCACCGTTGATATTTAGATCATTTCTATCCGTAGTTCCTTCGCTTACTGAGTGTTGGTGTCAGTAAGGGCCTGTGCAGAGCATGAAGTTTAAGCTGAGAACGTGCACCCGCTCCATCCACTGTGACTCTCCAGAAAACCTTTCCGGTCCCCTCTGCTCACCTCTCCTTTGCTCAGTGTCCTGGTGTTACTTCTTGTTGGGTTTCTCTGCAGAACCATTTCAGTGCTTGGCCCATGATGTGAACTGGATTAGTTTTCTGTTTATTTTTCTCTCTTTAGGTCGCTTTTGAAGACCTTCAAATTTTAAAGTAAGGGTGACAGTATGGTAATGGCCCTTAATGGGTCACTTAGCATAGACATTTTGAGTCAAATATACTTAAAAGACTATGTTAACTGTGACTCTAAAGAAGAGAGATTGAGTTTTTTAAAAAACACACACAAGATGCCAAACCTGTGCTGCCCTTCAAAATGTTCACTTTGGGATGTCTCTACCTACCTCAGCAGAGTGCAATGTCTCAAATATTAATGCTTTTTGGGAATTCTTTTGGAATTTCCTCAAAGCCAGTTTTGAACTCCTACTGAAAAGAAACCTCTTTACTTCTTGATCACACTTCAGTTTCATGTAGTGACAACCACTACATAAATTAGCGAGTAAAATGAATGACTATTCAGAACTGGTATTTCTTTTGATTGCATCTTTCCAGTGGAGCATACCATTAATATTTGTAATGATAGCAATCAGTTTAAATTAAACATTGTATGTTTCACTTCTGATAGTAAAATTAGTGTTTATTATGTTTTATATAGTATATCTGTGCTTATATATGCAATAAACACAAATACTAACTGTTGAAAGAAAAGAAAAAATAAGAGCCAATATTTTATAAGATAGTAGTATGCAGTGCCATAGTACATATATAAAAAACTGTATATATTTGCTTATTCACTGTGTATTAAGTAAATACTCATCACAGTGGTGTGTGTTTTATGACTAAATCATGACACAATATCTTTGGACTGTAGACTGTGCTTTGGGGAGCCTAGAAAAATAGAACAGCTTCATTCAAGTTAGAATGCCATTTATAAAATAAAATGCACCACTTAACCCAGAAATTCACTACTTTCTATTTTCCTTTCTTTCTTAAGTTGCCCCCTCCAGCATCTCAGTGAGATTTTTTTGCACAGTCCCATGTGTACAATATGTTGCTCCTCTTTTCTTTCTATATAGTTTGTCCTTTGAGACAACAAGAGGCTATTAGGAAAAAGAAAAGCATTTTTGAAATTACTGAGTTTCATAGGCAATTAGAAAAGTTCAAAAGAATGCCTTGACCCTGATTCTAAAAGAAGGGGTTGCATCATTATGGTACTTGAAAGTGAGAACTTTTACTCTGTTAGGATCTTGCCAGAGATTCAGTTCCCACAGTGGCCCCAGGTAAGCACAATGACTCTGATAAATACAAATTGGTCAGATTGTGTGTCGTCTCTCTGTTAATCACCTGGTGTTTTATGTTCGCTTCATGAAAACTTTTAAAAGTCACAACATTTTGATGCTACCTGGGTACAGGTTTCTGTACCTTGTTGGTACCAACATGTACCTTAGGTTTAATTTGGGGCTTAATAAAATTGAAGATACAGAGTTTGAAACTGGGTGGATCTTGTGGAATAGCCATTTCAAAATTAGGTTCATTACTAAATATAATGTGCAAAGGCAGGATATACACAGAGAACACCAATCTAGGTGGGTCTGCTGCTTGATTAACTTGTCATTGAGAGCATGGACTCTAGAGTCGACTTCCTGAGTTCAAATCCCAGCTCTGTTACATTATGGCAGCTCACATAGCCTCTCATCTGTAAAATGGGGGTGAAAGTAGGGTTTTGGCATAGTCCTATTGTGAGGATAAGTGAAAGCATCTTCAAAGAGCTCTTAGAATAGTGTCTGGCATATAGCCAGACCTTAATAAATATTAGTGCCTATTAATATTAGTGATCATTATCAGCACAAAAGTGGGCTATAAAAGCTTACTTTTCTCTTAATTATGAACTACCTATATTTGGACTCTGATTTTCATTAGGACTTTTTGCACCCTAAGAGCAGAGATTGGTTTGTTTTCATCTTTGTATTGTCAGTGCCTGAAATAATAGCACCGGGTAATAATGACTAGTAAATAATAACTTAGTAAATAAATAATGATTAATTGAATAAAAATGGAGGTCATCTACATATCCCCAAATGGCCCTGACATATTGAATAAATCATTTGATGTTATATCTTAATCAATGTCTGATTTTGATATTGGATACAATATTTTAAAACTCGATGATGATATTGTCTCATAATAGGTGGACTGAATAACCATTTATTGGGGAAGGCACAGTGAAATTCTCTAGGCCTACTATGTGCCAGATTTTGTTCATGGTACTTTCTAATACTCTAGTGACCATGCTGGGACTTGAACCCAGATCTTCAGATACAGCATCCAGTGTTTTTCCACTGTACCATAATCTTGAGATGTACCCATGTGGCCCCCAGCAGCTGAATACATCAGACTTCATCCACTTCAACTGGATGTGTGTGGTAGTTATCTTGAGCATCTGGAAAATGGAAAATTATATTTTAGAAGATCTTTCCATTCCTATAAGCAGTTGAGATTTAGACGAAATGTTGTCTCCTCTGTGAAACCTTTCTTGACTCTCTAAACTGTTGAAAGTCCTTTCTCTGTATCCCAATGAAATGTTTCTAAGTCTCTTATCATGTTCCTCTCAGCAGTTCGTAACCTTGCTCGAAAGTTTCCATTTAGACATAGAGCTCCATGCAGGCAGGGACCAAGTCTTCAGCATGTGTGGTTATGAACCTCCTCATACAATGTGTAGCACATAGTAAGAAGTTTCATAAATGTTATCACTTTGCTAGTTGGATGGATGGAACTGGATGACAAACATGAATATTCTCTGGGGTCTGCCTCAACAATACACCTATAGAAATGAGACAGTAAGCACAGCTTGTATAAAATAATTGTTTAGAGCACCTGAATAGGGTGATTCTTATTTATATTCTAGTCTTCTGGGAAGGATGAAGAATTAGGGTTAGTCATTCAGTCTTTCACAAACATTCTTTGCGTTAGAGTCTATAGGTTTACGAGTCAGGAACGCCAGAGCCAAGGAAAAGGGCCATTTTGACTTCACTTGCCTTTACATATTGCCTTGCATTGCAAATTGATCTCTGTTGCTCAAGAGTTTAAATCCTTTGATATCACAAACTGATTGGTTTCCAGTCTCAGTGTAAGCAAAGTAGAACCCTTGCAAGTTGAATGGTTGGTAAAGGCAAAAGCCAGGGCACAAACCTAATTATGTCAACAATTATGACAGCACTTCTTGTTTCTGGCCTTCTCTAGCTTAAGAGTGTAGAGCTTTGGATAAGTTTATATTATTAACACTTTTAGAAACTCCTTCTAAATGTTCATTTTATATCCAGTTGTTTCTGGTCATTTCAAACATAAATGATTTTTAAATTGCTTTTCAAAAGCTCCCAATCCCTTCAAAAAAAAAAAAAAAATCCAAGATATAGGAAAGGCCCAGTTTTCAGCCTGTTTGCCCTGCTGAATTTTTAAAAATCTTTTAAACATCCTTTAGTGAACTTGTCTTCTCAGTTGAGAGTTCCATGCTGTGATAGGAGGAATTCAAGGAGACAAATGTGAGACGTTTCCAATATAATTCGGGCACACTGTGTTTTGGGGTAGGGCATGTAATTTCTAAGTTAGATTTTGGTACCTCAGGGACAAGATGTACAAAAATATTTCTTATCTTACTTCATGAACTTAAGAAAGAAAATGATTGTGCTCAATTAAGTAGTTTTAGAAAGTTCTAGAGAAAAAAAATATTCAATTGAACATTCAAGGTAGTTTTTGGCTGCTGTCCATTATAAAATATACTAGGTACTTCAGGGGACAGAAAGATAAATGTAATGAAATGAGTGGCAGCAAAAGTCTGATATTGAGCACAAG